TCGCGAAGCGGAAGAGAGCCCGGTTACAACGCAATAAGCGAAATGCCAAAAGGCTAAAGCTCAAGAATGAGACAGCCCCTGCTGACGAACCAGTCGTTAAGAAAAGGGAACCAACCCTTCTGCGGAAGCTTCTGAATGCCGATATAAGGCGAGATAAGAGCCAGTTGTTGCAAGCTTTCAGATTCATGGTGTTGAATTCTTTCTTCAAGAGTGTGCCTGATAAGCCTCTGGTGTTCCCAATAATCACAGCTAAAAATGCTCAGCCTGAATCAGAGAAGAGACCATTGGATTCTGATACTAATTTCAGAGCGGAGAATGGAAATGCTGAAGAGGTTGAGAGGGAAAAAAATTCAGCTTTGGTTGGAGCAGTACAGAGTGAAGGTGATGAAGATAATGATAGCGATGGTGTTAGTGATGTAGTATATGAACCTAATGGTGAGGATGTCATCTCGCATGGTGGTGAGAAATCTGAGGAAGGAGAGATTACTGATTAACAGGGAGAATCCAGTTTTCCAAGCTTATTAAGCATTACTTGACTATCATTAAAGCTTGAAAAGGGCAAAGCAGCAATTTTAGGGGAAGTTGTCTCTTCTTTTTTTTTTTTGTAATTTATGTTCATTATCAGAAATTGGAATTTATTTTGGCCTTTTTTTTATCCCTTTTCTTAATTACATTTGAACTGAGCCTTCTAGGTATGAATACATAATGTTTTGATGATTGCTATGGTCATCAGAAATATTATTGAAGGTCAATTTTGTGCAGTTTGTTCGCATTTGTATTACTCTAAATTTGTTCCGAAGTAGTGTTGCAGAAGAACCAATCTAAGCCCAGGCTATTCCATTTTTACGCTCAGTTATTAAAAGTTTGTTTGAGCATTTGATCTTTTGTGATATTGTTCAAACTTCATTTAAATTCGTGTTTGTTTGAGTTTGTTTCATTTTGTGATTACCAATCTTTAAAAAAGTAGCTCATTTGGTATGAAAAAATAATACATCAGGACTCTGCACGTGGAGTTACGTGCAAAGTCAATGAAATTACGCCGTGGAGGGGATCGGCCCGACAACACAAGGAAATATTCTTCTCATGTTATTCAGTGTTTTTGTGTTCTTAGAATATTCTCGGTATTATAATAACACATCAATAATGCAACACAAGGAAATATTTTTCTCATGTTATTCAGGTGTTATTGTGTTCTAAGAATATTCTTGGTATTACAATAACACATCAATAATACTTGAATAACACACAATAACACCTGAATAACATGAGGGGAACATTCTCTTATGTTACCGGGTCGATTAACACCACGGCGTAGTGAAAATTTCCTTATGTTACCGGGTCGATTAACACCACGGCGTAGTTTCATTCTACATGCGGAGTCCTGATGTAATATTTTTTCAATTTTTATATAGTAATTGTGCCTTATCTGAGTTTGTTGAGCTGAGAAAATGAGATTTTAGGTAAAATTTTAAAAGTAACAGTTTTTTTAATTTTATTATTTTAATTAAATTCTAAAAAAATAAAATATTCTAAATAGATAAAATCGTCATGTTAAGAGGTGATTTTGTGGTAAGGACATGCAAAATTGCCAGTGGATGCGGCGATTTCTCCTTGCCACGTCGGTCAACAATATTGCCTGTTAAGTTGATAATTTTATTAAAAAAAAATTAATAAGGATGGTTATATATTATTAATACTATATTATAAACATCAATTCTATTTAGCTAGGGGGAGTGGAAGGCTCCTAACTGGGTAGGTGGAGTGGAAGGCTTGTAACTTGGTGGTTCTAGGTTCAAGTCACATGGTATTTTTTTTAGGTATAGTGTTTGTTTAATTGTTCTTTTAAATTATTTAATTTAACAGATAAATTAAAATTATATAAAATTTAATAAATATTATAATCTCAATTTTTTAAAAAAAATTAATAAAAAATTTAAAAAATTAATAATATAATACAAAATAAAATAACTTTATTTAAAAAAAAATTCATTTAAATTAATAATTTAAAATATTTTTTAGTTTTCAAAAATGTTAAATACAAAGTTTGAGAAGGTAGAATATCTCCTCTGCAAATTTTACAAAGTAAAATTTGAAAAGTAATTTTTTTAATTTTTTATAAATTTATTATTATTATTAAAAACTAAATATATTTTAAATTATTCTTTGCCACAAATTAGCTTGAATAATTAACTTAATTTAAGTCATTTAGATTGATTTATCTTTCGCATTCTCAAAATCAAGTTAACTATTCATGCTAATTTAAGATAAATTAATGTTCATGAATGAAATTAAGTTAATCATTCATGCTAATTTGTAACAAATAATAATTTAAAATATATTTAGTTTTTAAAAATGTTAAAAATATATTTATAAAAAATGTTATTTTTAAAATTGTCTTGTAAAATTTGTGAAGATATGTGTCATCTTAAAATTTTTATTTACCATTTTTGAAAACTAAAAATATTTTAAAATATTTTTAACTGATTTATCTTTTGATGTAAATTTAAATGAAAAATTCATATAATTAATGTTATTTTATTTTATATTATAACTTTTTTATTTTTAAATTTTAATTTATAAGAATAATTAAATAAGCATTGTTCTAATTTTATAATATAACATTAATAATACAAAATATCCTCAATAAATTTTTTTCTTAATAAAAATTCAAATAATTATCAAAGGCATAAACAATCTTAATTTTATAAATATTTTTCACCCTCGAAAACCGCTAAGCTTAGAAATTATATTACATCTTTTTGGCAATTTGAAGAGGAATCGATATATGAAGCCTGACAAAGATTTAAAGATATTTTTAAAAAATATCCACACCATGCTTTACCAGATTATCTAATAATTCAAACATTTTACAACGTATTAGTGGGATCACTTAGATCTATTATGGATGCTGCTGCAGGTGGATCACTCATGTCAAAACCTTTTGATGAATCATATTCTTTAATTGAAAAAATGACTACTAACAATTTTCAATGGCCCTCTGAAAGGGTAAATCCTAAGAGAGTAGCCAATATTCATGATACTGATGCAATGTCTATTTTGGCATTTCAAGTTGCTGCTATTTTTAAAAAGATTGATCAATTGGGAGTGAACTATTATGAAATACCCCCAGTATTAGAGGAAAATTCACTAGGATATATTATTGATACTCAATCATCTTATGAAACTTTAAACGCTATAAATAATCGAAATAACCATCCCTATTCTCTATTTTAACTCTGGATGAAAAAATCACCCTAATTTTAGTTAGAATAATTATAGAAATCCTGTGAATCCATTCATAAATCTGAACAATTAAGGAAATCCTAATTTTTTACCTTATTATCCTCCAGGATTTAACTCCAATCCTAACCCACAAGTTAAGGAAAAGAAGTTGACGATGGAAGAAGTGATGTTGAGTATGGAAAATCAAATATAGAACCAATGGGCTGCTATTAGAAATATTAAAAATCAGTTAGGACATATTGCTACTGCACTTAGTAATAAATCTTCTGGAATTCTTTCGAGTACGGTGGAAGTTAATCTAAAAGATCAAAATAAGGAGCAAATTAAAGCTATTCAATTACAAAGTGGAAAAGAAGTTAAAAATAGGATCCAAGAGAAACTAAAGTTGATAGAATGAAAAAACGAAAAATGATCAACATGAAAATGAATAAATACAGGTTCCTTTAAAAAAATTCATTACCTCTGTTTCCTCAAAGACTGAAACAGAAGAATAAATATAAACAATTTACAAAATTTTCAGAAATCCTTAAGAAGTTAACGATAAATATTCCTTTCGTTGAAGCTTTGGAACAAATGCCAAGGTATGTGAAATTTATGAAGGATGTACTAAATAAGAAAAAGAAGTTTACAGATCATGAGAGTGTTGCACTCAGTGAAGAGATTTTTCTTGGGCATAAAATTTCTGAAAAAGGCATGGAAGTAGATCCTGTAAAAATTCAAGTTATAGAAAAATTATCACCTCTTAATAATGTTAAAGGGGTGAGAAGTTTTCTAGGACATGCTTGTTTTTACAGGCGCAACATAAAAATTTTTTAAAAATAACTAAACCTATATGCCAACTTTTGGAAAAAGATACAAAATTTGATTTTAATTAAGAATGCATAAATACATTTGAATTCTTAAAGAAAAAAATAATCACTGCACTTATAATAGTACGATCAGATTGGGAGAAACCATTTGAAATAATGTGGATGCTAGTGATTATGCTATTGGGGTTGTATTAGGATAAAGACACGACAAAGTTTTTAAAGTTATATAAGATGCTAGTAAGAATTTAAATGATGCCCAAATTAATTATACTACTACTGAAAGAGATTTATTAGCTATTGTTTATGCCTTTGATAAATTTAGACCTTATTTAATTAGAACTAAATGTATAGTGCATACAGATCATTCAACTATTAAATATTTAATGCA